TCTTCGAGCACTCATCCAAGAGACTCTGCAGCCAGCGAGATGCAGCCGGGCTGCGTTTCACTTCCAGACAGCCGCCCTTGTGCAGGTGATTTGCCGGCCTGGAGGCCACATCGCGGGCTGGGGCACTGTCGGCAGACAGCACTTTCCTGCTTTGGCAGGCGCATCCTCGCAGAACTGCATGAGACTCCTCTACGAGACCTTCAGGGGCCAGTGCCTCGCCAAGACTCGACTCCTCACTTTTGCATCCTTCCTCGCGCAGCTCTTCCTTCTGTCGCAAGCTCGCGCAGGTGGCTGCACCTCCGCTCTGCCTTCAGGAGAGGCGCTGGATGCATCGACAAGACATGCGGATACGTGCACCGCACGTTGCTCGTCAGCTAGTCTTTTGGGCTTCGAGCCGGACTTGCAGGCGTGCAGTGAGCCCGGCCGCCCTGTACTTGTGAGCTCAGCCGCAGGACATCGCCGTGATTTGTTTCTGTGCTCCGACAGCAGGGGCCCAAGTTGCGTTTCGAAGTGCCTGACAGAGTACTCGTAGCTTGCGAGCTGGGCAGGTGGCTGACGTCCGCTTGCGTGCGCCAGCGACAAGTGGAGTGGCGCTCTGTCACGCAGTTTTGGTCAATGCTTGATGAACAGCTGGACGTAATGAGGATCTCCTGAGTCACTGTCAATCTTCACGTGAGCTCTGCAGTTGCATTTTAACAGATTGACGTATTGTTATCACGCTCCATTTGTAGAGCCTTGTCCGCTTGATGGAACAGCTTCTTTCGTGGTGAAGCTGAGGTCTGGGAGTTTCTCTGTGACGGCAAGGCGCTCTGCGATGCTTCTCCATTCTTTGCGGCAGCTTTGCGTGCGATCCTCGGCGATCCGCAGCACCCATGACTTCTACTCAATCTGAGTTCTGAGGCAGGAATTGCTGGCTCGAGGCCCCTGCCAGAAACTTCGAAGAACGGGTGGCAGAGGGGTGGGCTGGGTGGATCTTGAGGCTTTTGCATGTCCATCTAAAGCTGATGGCTCTAACAGTCACCGGATCCTTCAATCCGCAGGGCCGATGCCAAGAGGTTCGGTTTATGGAGGAGGATGCGCTGACCTGGCTCGGGCGCCCAGCGATGCAAATTTAGGGAAAGTTTGGTCTGAAGTGGAGACAGCCCGAAACCTTTTCATAGCTGCCATACTTGCAGGACCTGTAATCACGAGCCTAGAGCATTTGTTGAAGTCCGCTCGGCTGACATGCCATGTAAGCGGGTGGTCCCGAGGCGAAACTTGTCCTGGGAATGAGATCATGTGTGCACACATGGTCTGCACATATCTTTGTTTGGACTTTCGCCCACCTGCAGCAAGGTGCAATTATTATTTATAATGTCATCAGCAAGCACATGTTTTTATGAATGTGCAAACAAACTTGAGCCTGCTGTGCCTTATTGTCTGTCACACTGGTGAGCATCATTGAGCGAAACGCAAGTCATGGTGGTCATGCGCAGAAACGAGACCGCAAACTGCCTGAGAAATATCACGGGTGTTGGCCAGAGCGCCTCGAGCTTTTCCCCGGGCCGATCGAGGTCCCGTGCGCTGCTCCTTCAGCTGCATGGCTCGGCTGAGGACACGAGAGATGCGCAAAGCCTGTCCGCAGCGCACTCGGCGGGCTGCTACTGGTAGGAGCGCCGCTTCTCAGCGCAGCTGCCGGTGCCGGACGGGGGCCGAGCAAGCTGAGTCGCCCACGAATGGTTCGCACACATGTCAGTCCTGAAGCGCAGGGGGCCGACACGGAGTCCGGCGTGACGGAGCTGATCTTTGCAGAGATTCGCCTTTTTGCCCTCTGCAAGAAGTATTTGCTAACTCGCTCGGAGCAGCTGATGCTGCAGCGACTTCGCGAAGGCTCTGGGCTCGTTCCAAGGCTCAGCGCTTTGGAAGAGCCGGATTTCATGCAGACTCTTGGACTTGTTGAAATCAAAGTAAGCTTTTAGCAAGTCACAGCCAGAAAGACAAACGACACCGGGGAAGAGCAGGGCCCATGACCTGTGAGGATCGCAAACCAGCTACAGCTGCATGGGGTGCTGCCAGCTGTGCTGGGCTCCTGGTGCTTGTCATATGCTGCATCAATGGCTCGGCCATTGCAGATGCTCCTGTCGGCGGGTGGCAAGTTGTGCCAAACTGTACTCGACTGTGCCGGGGCGGTTGCCTACATTGCCAGCGGGCGATTTCTTTGTGCTTTGAGGGACAGCAGAGAGCCTGTCAGCCGCATTCTGCTGCTTCTGGCAGAGCGGGGTTGCCTCGACCTGTTGCAGAAGTGTCAGCGCTGGGACTGGTTGGACTCGGCGGATGACGTGTGGCAAGTCCTGACCGAAGATTCCTTGATGCCACTTACGCAGTTGCCCGCTTTCAGGCAGGAGCTGCGACAGCTTCGGTTTTGCTCTCTGGCGCTGGCGGAGGCCCTGGAGCCTTTTCCGCGACTCCTCGACGACCTGCTGGATGCTTGGTTCGGAGCTGGCGAGGGCGAGGTGAGCCTGAGCCTTGCAGGTTTGGAGCTCGTGTCTTGGGCCGAGCGCTGTTCCCGCTTTCGCCAAAACTTCCTGCGAGCACAGCTGAGGGAGCTCACCCCCAAAGCCTTCGCAAGCTTCTCCAGAGCCGCAGCTTTGGACCAGGAGGAGATCGGCCCCCTGGTGCAGCAGCACCTTCAAGCAAGTCTCAAGTCGCTTTGTGAAGCTCCTCTCCTGCGCATGAGTCCACCTCCAGATGCTCCCTTCGCAGAATTTGACGGAGCTCTCCTGCGGCGCATCTGGAGGTTCAGGCTAATGGGCCCCTTCGAGCTGGGTGGTGCTTTGGCTTTGGTTTTTGTGAGGCCCTGGTTCCTTCCGCTGCGCCTCACCATGCTTGGCCTGGATCTACTGCGGGGCCTGATGTCTTGGAGCGTTCCCACTTATTCGCTGTGCCGCAGCCGCCTTGCAGCGGAATCCCACTGCTTCTGTGAGGCTGCCCGTGTTTTCCGGGCAGTGATTGCGGCGGCCTTCGACTTCGAAACTTGACTGCGCAGCGCACGCAGAAAAAGGCGACAGTTCGAGCCGAGCCGCTGGCTTCGAGCACATCACTGCAGCCGATGATGAGAATGCTTGTAAGTACCTGCACTAGCCTCAGATTGGAAGGCCACTGGAAGCTGGCAGACAGAGACCGATGCGATCCTTCGACTACAGACCAGCGCTGGTCTGCAGAGCACCATACACGAGCAAGAGCATATTCGGACCTGGCGGTCCTGCGGATGCGGCACTGCAAAGAGAAGCCGCCGGCTGCGAATCCTAGGATTATCAACCCGGCCAAGTCAGTTCAGGTTATGGCGGAGGTGGTGTAAGCTTTGTGTGCTGGTAACCTCGAGCTCCAACCGGCTGTGGACTTCCTCTCGCTGCTTCTTGCGAGCACAGGACAATCCGCGTGTGAGTCGCGAAGGTTTGCAGCCAGCTTGTTTCGCTCTGCACAGATGTGTCCACCATCGTAAAAAAAAGCTTGGTGATGGCAGAAGGAGGGTATTTTTGGTTCGCATTGGCTTGAGGCCTTCAGATGCCTCGGGTATGCGAGGTTTATTCAGTTTGTGGTGTCGGTATCTCTGAGCCTTGGGAATTAAGGGCTGTTGGGACGTTGAGGGCGTGACGCTCTGCCCTACATGCCACCGCCCGCTAAAGCTTGTCCTGTAGAAAGATCCAAACCCAAACCTGCAACCCCTGAACATCTCAAGACCCGGGTGCAGATTCTGCTAGATGTTGCTAGCTGCTAGCTAGCTTTGGTCGAATTTTTGAATTGCCTACATCTGGGTGGTGTCTATGGGATGCAAGGATCCACATGCCGGAACACCACTTGTGACTGACAGACAGCGCATTGACGTGTCATGTAGTTCAAAAGCAGACATTGCAAGGGATTGCGTAGCTGACAGCTCTTTCTCGCGGCGCAGCTGTGCTGTCGAGATCTGCTTCATCTGTGGCAGCACTCGTCTGCGTGCCGGAGGTCAAGCACGCGAGGCCAATGGGTCGTGCAATGTCCCAGTGCATCGTGGGCTCTGCTCTGAAGAGCTAGAAAATGCAGTGCTCAAGAAGACGACAGAGGTCACGGCAAGGACGAGCTGCAAGAAAGCCCTGGGTCTCTTCGTGGACACTGGCCACACGAACGTAGCTGGGAGATGCTGGGAGACCATCATAGGAGGGCGGCTCGTGCTTTTCGAAGATTGCAGAGGCGAAGGGACACTAGCAGACAAGCTACGAGATCACCGAAACGTTTCAGGAGAGGGCTGAGGACGTCATTGGCCGTTCCGGCGACGACCAAACGTCGTTGAAGTCGCCTTGTGGGTGGGGACGATCGGTTCGTGCAGTTCCGTTGCGAGGAGGGGGGGTCGCAGCTTCGGAGTCGGCACTTGCAGGGAATGCAACCGTCGCGGCCCGAAGTCGCGGCGCGCATGTTTGCATGATGGACTTGCATGGAAACCCAGCACAGACGATGCACAAGGTTGTAGACAAGGCCCCAAAGAACCTATGAAAGGAGGCCACAGGGCAGCATATGGCGCATTTATCTATCAGCTGTGTGGGGAACGGCGCATCGAACCCTTCGAACGTTGAAGGTGACGTCGCCATCTGGCCCCGGAACAGTTTGCGGGGGTGCAGGGGCACATGTACTGCCCCAAAGCAGCAGGGCCGTCCATGTTTTCGTGGCGAAAGGTGGCCAGTTGCAGAGTCACATCCATTGTTTGATGGTCTAGTTTACGTCGCAAGCGCAGCGGGGCGTGGCTGCTTGCTGGGAAGTGAGAAGAATGATGATGCGGCAGATGTTTACTCGCTTCTCCATTTCTGGATTTGAAGCTCAAGCCTGTGCGATACACCCCAGATGTGCTATGGGTCTGTTGAGGTTTCGTTGTAGCATCAAGTGTGACTGGGAGTTGTCTTTGCTATGAAATTGTGTTATCTAGAAATAGATGAAGCATTCAAGCTAATTCCAGGTGTGCCTCTACCCAACCTCACCTATGTCGTGCCATGTCACTGCCGGCCAGTGCAGCCTCCTCTCATTCCAGCAGAGTCAGGGGCAGCGGGATCGAGATGTCCGGCTCGTCATCTCTGGATTCCCGACCCTCCTCGTGGAGAGACCGAAGTGAGGCACGTACCTTTGCGCAGTCAGACAGCGCTTTGAGGAGTGAATGGAGGGGTATCAAGAACAATTGACAGCACACGGGCAGGCACTGGTGCAATCCTCTCTCCCATCCCCACGATGGTCCATGATTTCAGCAGACTCTGCGACTTGGCAGCCTGAAGAGTAGGAATGCAGGGAGTGAAGGCTTCGCCCATGCAGCAGCCAGACTACCAAGTGTCGACAAGCTCTAAGCTCGGTCTTGCTCTTAGTTGAGGATGCCCGAGTCGTTTCCAGGCTGTGGCACAGGCTCTTGCTAGACTCGTTTGCCCAACTGCAGAGCCGTAGAATACTTCCAACGGGATGATTCCACAATGCTTATGGCACAATCTTCATCAGATGGAAATGCAAGGGAGCTGTGTCCAGAAGGGCGCTTTGAAAAAACGCGCCACAACAGAGTCTGTGAGAGGAGATGCTGGCTGTGCGTAGCCTCGTGGCCGGAGCCGACTCGGGTCTGGCGCGAGGCGCGAGGCTCCGCCGTTTTGCGGATCCTAGGCCTACACGTAGGGGCCTAGGCTGCTGTGCTTTAGTGACACTGCGCCTGTATGGCGCCATGGCCTCCCCTTGTTCGGGGTTCAATTCTGGCAGGCCGTGATCCGGATGTAGACCACTGGCACAGCAGCATTCGATTCCTCGTGGTGTCCTCGGCTGTGCTTGCAAACAACATCCTGCGCGTCTACTGCATGGCTCTGTTTGCCCAGCATCGCAAGCTGCTTTTGGTCGGCTGGCAGCTTCCTTTCGAAATTCTGGGCGCGCTGTTGTCAGTTCACATCACCTGGAAGGATGCCGACATTCAGCGGCGGCTTCGAAGTGCATCGCTTGGCGGACGGATCCTTTGCGGTTTTTTGGCCTTTGTGTTCCTGGGCCTCTGTCAGATCATTCATGTGAAGAGGGCCTGGGCTCGGCAACTTCGGAGTGGCGAGATCTTGGACCGCTTGGACGACCGGGACTTCATGTGGACAACGCCCGTGCTCGGGGGTGAACGTGGGCATCCGGTTGCCGTGATCACCAACTTCTCCGTTGCAACCTGGACCTCATGAATAATACTAGTAGCCTTGGTGGCCATGTTCCTAGAGGTTACGACCACAGTGTAGGCTTTCAGTCCATCTCTTTCATGGTGCTAGCCTGCCCGGACTAGGCTCGGCACACACTGCGTGCTGCAGGTTCCGGTGTGTATGTACGCCTTCCTGACCAAGCAGTGCCTGAACGTGGAATTGGGTGAGAGTCCTTCTTCAATCTGGTGGTGCGAACCCAAGTCTGCTTTTGAAACGTACATACTGGCATTCGGAATCCTCTCAGCCCTGGTAGTGATCAGCATATGTGTAGTTGATATTGACATTGTGGTTTCGGCCTTCGTGGCTCGACGTTACCATCTCGACTTCCGCCGTCGTGGCTCGCGCGTCGGCGTCCTGCAGATCTTGTATCCTGTTGTGCACATCATCTACCGTATCGCGGAGGTAGTTGCCAGGATCTCCCTTTTGACGGCTTGCGTCCTGGTCTCCGGGTTCGAGCTACATCTTTCAGGCTTCATCGCTGCCTGCTCTTTGATTGCGGTGGACTTCTTGATAGTTCTGCTCATCCTCCGCAAGTATTCACCGCGAAGCGAACGCTGGGCGATCCATTTCTTCGTGGCGCTCGGCTTCTTGATTGCCGACATGGCGAAGTTCGTAGACCGGCCCGGCTTTTCTTATCCTGCGCGACACATTAGCCTCGCCATCGGGAGGTGGGAGCGGGAGAGCTGGCGCAGAGCTGGCGCAGCCAGGAGTGGATGAGTTCAGCCATGTTCAATCCATGCTGTAGCGCCTTCCAGGTGGCGGAAGCTGCAGCTTCTTCTGGTCTGCGGAACAGCCTATGCTGTGACTCGTTGGGGCGAGAGCTTGGAGAGGACGCCTGACCTGCCCTGGCTCCGATAGACCTCTCAAATTACTTGCACCTGACAGGAGAGATCTGCAAACATACCTGCGTGGCTGGGCGATCCTCGCCACACTTGCGACGTCCGTCCTGATCTTCGAAACCCTGCAGCTGACCCCGATGATCAATGCAACCGGAGATGATCTGCACACTGCAGTTCTAAATCACAAAATTTCTCGTGTGAGAAAGCTGCTGGACACAGGGCTGGCTGGCGAAGCTCTGGATGTGAATGGACCATCGAAGGCAAGCCCCATGACCTTGGTTCAAGTCACACTTACTTCCTCTTTCCTGTCGCAATGACTGATCGATTCAACTCTTGACCTCTTGGGGAACCCTTCAGGACTCCGAGCAGGTGACGGCTGCGATGCTGGCGGCGCAGGAGCCTCTTGCACAGCGTGGCCCCTGCCCTCACAAGACTCACCTTCCTTACACTCTGACAACTTGATGTAAACGAAATCCTGGGCGTCTCAGGAGGGCTTCGTCGAGGCGGGCTGGAAGCTCGAAAAGAAGGGACATGAAGGGACAGCTGGCACTTCAAGATGCTTGCTGCTTTGCTATGCTTTGTTTGATTCTTGGAAGGGACTTCGAATGATCATGTCTTGTGGTGGCCGCATGGAAGTGCGCGACTCCAAGCGTGAGACCCTGGGCTGAAATGGCTGAAACAGAGGTGGAGATGAGCGCATGAACCGACAAGTCGGTCGTGGATGCCAATCCCCGCAACATCCCACCGCCCACTACAAGCCTGACCCATCACACGTTGCGCGACGGAGCTGAGGACTTGCATCCACTACGCTGTGCGGCATCTGCAGCTCGAGGCCAGGTAGTTGACGGTCGAATGTTCTCGAAGTCTAAAGCTGGAGAGTCGCTGGAGGCTCTGGAGTTCCTCGTGCGTCAGCCAGGTGCATCGCAGGCCTGGCAGCCAGAGTCCTCTGTCTTGGAGCTGTCTCTGTGGGAGTGCTGGCAAGTTACGGGGCTTCGAGATGCCCAGGTGTTGCACGCCTGCCGCGAGGCTTGCGTCTCTGTGAGGTCTTGACTATCGGGTGCCCGAAGTATTATAGGTTCTATCTCTGTGGCCTCGTGCTCCGAAATCTCCAAGACATCTCCAATAGCCATCGCTTGTAGTTAGATTTTACTCAACTCGGCTTCACTTGCTGTGTTCGAAGTGAAAATACACGCTTTCCAGTCCACGGCCCCCGCACTGCCCACACCTTTTTACGGATAGGAGTTGCGTGCCTTGGCTGCTGCGGCTGCCGGCCTTGACCTGGTGCCTCCGGAACCGCAGACAGGTCGGGTCAGGTTACTGCCTGTTTTCGGTAATCTTTGGAGACCTCTATCTGGAGGTGCACCGTCCGACCAGCCTACGTCGGGCGTCGCGTCGAACGAAGCGGGCCAAAGCCAAACGCCATCCTTCCTTTTCCGTGCCTCCACGAAGTTTGCGCGGAGGCTCAGCCCAGATGAGGCTCGTCGCCTAGTTCTCCTCTTGGAGCCCAACAGGGGCACGAGAAGAAATGCCGACGAACAAGAGGTGTTTGGCACGCTGCGGAATGTGAGGACCCACTTGGCCATGAGCCGACATCTGTTGAGACTCTTCCCGAAGGCTTTGGAAGAGGATGTGCCCCAACTTCACGAGCTCCACTCTGTAAGCGCACTGGTTTTTGGCCACGGTGCAGGCGCCTTTGCTCGGGCATTCCTGCGTGTAGCACCGGTGGCCGGTTGGCTGCAGTCTTTGCGGAAGGTGCGGGAGCTCGGCCAGGGGGCCTCGGGCACAGTGATTGAGGTGGAGCTTGACGATAGCATTGGGACCCTCGGATCCATCGCAGCATCTCCCAGCAATCCGGGCACGGGAAGATCAGGGTTTCTGCGATCGAGAATGTCCCTGACTGGAAGATCTCGGAGTCAGAGCGATTATCAGCAGTACCTGGAGCCCCCGCGCTTTGCCATGAAGCTCCAGTCGAAGCGCAACCTGGATTGGCAGGCCTACTCAGAGGTGGTGGCCCTGAGGAGGGCGGGCCACCCTTTCATCGTGCGACTAGAGCAGGCCTTCCAGACGCCTCACTATTATGCCTTGCTGCTGGAGCTTTGTCCGAAGGGAGACCTCAACCTGCTCTTGTGTAATACGCACGAGAGTGTCAGCGAGCGTCGCATGGGCTTGCCGGTGAGTCGTCCCTGCCTGAGCAGTTTCAAGAAGTAGACTCGCCTCCGGCCGCCCCCGGCTCCCAAAACGCTCCTTCGAGGTGCAGCTAGGTACGCCGGACAAGTGCTGCTGGCCCTGGTCCACCTCCACGAGGCTTAGCACAGCTCATTCAGCGCGTAGACGAGCAAGTTCCCCCTAAAGGTGCTGGGAATCATCTACCGAGATGTCAAGCCGGAAAACATCCTCCTCTCCACCCAGGACGAGGCAAGGTAAATTGTGGCTGGGTCTCAGTGCTGTGCTCGGTGCTTCGGAGGCCAAGCTGGCGGACTTCGGGCTTGCCCTTTATGTCGGGGGCAATTTCTTCAGCGAGCCTCCCTCAGCTCAATTCGCTTCTGCCGTAATGTTGACTTCCTCTGAAGCTCCGCTCCATGCTGGGATAGGGCGGTGTTCCGGGAAATACATGGCCAGTGCAATGGAAGTCTGCCGCAGTCTGCCAAGTGCCACCTCACCGAAGGCCAACTACTCCATGCCCATTGCAGGCACCCCCAGGCCAGGCGAGCTCTCTGTTTTTGCAGTTTTTTTGGTGGCGGGGATTCGAAGTTCGCCCCTTTTTGCAGGTTTCTTGCTCCTGAGCTGGTCCTCGGAGAGGAGTCCGACAGCGAGATGTCCACCATGGAGCAGGGCCGGGAGTCCAAGATTCAGTGGTGTGCACTCTTCATGAACATCCGCGACTCAGGTGCCATGAGAGACGTGCGCTTCGACCCGTTCAAGACAGATGCGTACCCTTGCATTAGACTTTCTCCAGACTTTGATGTTTGCGCAGCCACTTTGGCTTCTGATGGCCCACGCAGGTACAGCTTTGGCATCACGCTCTACGTGATGTTGTTGGGCGAGGACTGTGCCGATTTGGAGCAAGGGGATGGAGACTCCTTGCAGTGGCCTCAGCAGGGCCCGGGCGTCTCAGAAAGCCCTGTGTGACAGCACCTCTCCGCACGGTTGAGGTGGATATTGCCGAGGAGGCCGGCCACACCTGATAGTACCGTGTGCACTTCTAGATTGCCTTCTATACAACTCCACGAAGCCAGGCTGCCCGATGCGGAGCAGACGGAGTTCCTTGAATCTTGCTGCCGCAGTGGCCGACTGCTCCCTGAGGCCACCATGTGCGGCTGCGGTGAAAGCTGCGCGGGTTGTTTCTGCGATTCCAAAGCAGTTCGGCTCAGGCGAAGGACCTCTTGGAGCGGCTTCTTCCATCCAGGTGAAGCATTTCATGTCAAGATGCCCTGAACCTTTGTTTTGCCTTTTCCCGGCCTTGTTGCCTCAAGTTTGCAGCTATGGCAGACAGGCCTCAGATGCGAAGGCGTCTGGCCGATGCAGAGATTCAGTCCCAATCCAAGCTTCTTCACTCCGGTTCCCTACACATTGCCGCATATTCTGCAAGACGCAGGAATCACAACTTCTTCCTTGTGGCACTTGGCTGCAAGGCACTCCCGGCACGCTCCATTCTCGAGTCAGTGCTGAGTGCTGAAGTGCCGCGCTTGACAGGATTTAGAGGCACACCTTCTAAGTGAGGCAGGACACCCGGCTGCCGTGCAAGCTAGAGCATGAGCAGCTTTATTTTATTGCACCACTGCCTTCCCCTGCTTTTGAATTTTAAACCCCGTTTAGCTGCTCAAGTTACTTCCTCTCCGAGCAAAGCTCAGCCCTCAGTGGGCGGCTGGCCCCTGGGCATGCTCTGGAATGTTTGGGAAAGCAGACTTGCAGACCATTGGGGAGACTTAGGTTGCATGCAAGGGATTGCAAGGGCTCACGCTCGTCGTCGAGGTAGGTTTGTGCTCGGAAATGCGCTCTGTGCAACCTCCAAGGTCTAGTCCGCTGACAGCTCCCAGCCCTGTTAGGGTACGCTGGGACCAGAATCCCACGAAACCTCTGCAAAGTGTCGGAATATCCGATGCAAAAGCGGAGAGCTGTGCAAACTGTGCGGCTGAGGCCACGCGAGCTTGGGACGAGTTGGGACTTAAACGCCAGGTCCAAGCCGAAGCCGGGAGCTTCCGGAATGGGGAGCGTGCCCAGAACTTCTCTGGTTCCCGAGCATTTCTAGACAGTTTGGAGAAGCCGTGAGTTTCTTGAGAAGGGTTGTGCACCGTGACATCGACGGACACCGCGAAGGTCTCACCAACTGAGTGAGAAACAGAACTAACACATTCTACGAGGCATTTATATCAATGCGTGCAGAGTTTTCAGCTTTTAACGGCTCTGACCCCCACACTTCGACATCTTGTGCAGGAGCGTTGTAGGGCTTCGGCTTCTGGAACGCGACAGTCTTGCCACCAAAACCTGGAGAGGGTCCGCTTTAGCTGCTGTTCTTGAAGCCTAGGGCCGAGGGCCTTGCGCCTCCGGAGCAAGTGCCAAAGAAAGGGGACTTTAACGACCACGGCCTGCTTGCCTTGCCTGTGAGAGCTCTGGCACAGGCTTGAAAGGTGTAGACAGCACAGCACCAAGATTGCCCGGAGTCACCTACATCAACTCCACTGCCCATGCATCCGGAGAGGACTGGTTCGTTAGCAAGGCAACATAAGGCAACAAGGAGAAAGCCAGGAGAATCTAAGACTGAGCGATGCCTCGGCAGTCATGAAGCGCACAGCGGCAGAGATCTCCGAGGCAATCGCAGGGTCCATGAAGGGGCTCTCGCATTCTGAAGCTGTAACCGGGGCCACATCTTGTGTCACCTCGCATTAGCTCGCTTGCCGCTTAGTTGCCCAGAGCTGAGTTTGGTTTCTTCAGGGCGATGAGTCCCCGCCCGCCACGGTCGAGGCCGGGTCGTGACAGCGAGGGGAAATGGCTATGAACCCAGGGCGACTGTGAGGTCAATGACTCTGCTTCATTTTGGCGTTGCCAGGCGCGTAAGTCGGGTCTTTCCGGACATCAAAGCTTCTGATGCTCGGTGACTTAGATAGAAGCGATCTATCGGCGACGCAATCCGCACAAGCTGAGCGGCGTCGAGGCCGGAGGTTGAAGACGAGGGGCTGAAGTTAGCTTCCAGATACCTTCCGATTCTTCTTGATTACATTGCGTGAGAGTACATCTCATTGACGTTCCTGGAATTAGGGCCGACACACAACCGAACGAGTGGAGTGCTAAACGACAGTCGACCGTTTCTGGGCGACGCATGCCTACCATGAGAATTCGACTCCCGACAAGGCGTTGCTAGAAAAGTACAAAGACAAAGAGGCGGTGCTGTATGCCAAAGTGTGCAAGGCGCGGAGTTTGCCGCGGTAGCTTCGATTGTCAACGGACCAGTCGAGCTGTGTCGCGAACATGCTCTGCATTGCTGACACCGACAACCTCAGAAAGTATCTTGGAAGCTGACATTGAACCCCGGTACGCGACCTCGCAGAATTACAAGACCTCTGTCTGGAGGAGGTTTCTGTTGCCTGAACTAAGCTTCAGAGGGCTGGGAGAGCGGCAATTGACCATCGATTCAAACAGTCATTGTATGTTGCCGGGCATTGAGAGCGGAAGATTTAAAGGTGTCTCTCCTGCCGGAAGATTACTTTGACAGAAACCTGACACCGGCATAAGATCATGATATGACTTTGTAAGCGTTCGCCCCTTAGCTTGCTCTTGGTCCCCACCTGAGGACGGCATGCCAGGCTTGTGTGTGTGCGCGTGCGTGTGTGTGGGTGGGTGGGTGCGTGCCTGCGGGCGGGCGGGCGGGCGAGCGCGCGCGCGCGGCGCATCGTGGCGAAAGGCCTACGACCTCGACCCGAGCAAGCTTTATGCGGATGCAAAAGCATGGGAGCCGAGCTGCTGGCCTGGCTTGACGGAGATGGCATGGATACCGTGCGTGCACAATTTCGGGGGGCAGGTACGAAACAGACGTGCTGGAGGAGCCGCGATCTCAGCCATGGATGCCTTGAAGCAAGGGTTCAGCGGAAGCAAGTCTGAACATGTCTGACACCGAAACCACGTTTTGAAGTCTTCACTTCCTCGTTTGGGGCCCAGAACCAGGAGCTCGAGGATAGCGTCGGATAGCGTCACAAAGCTCGACAGAAGCGAAGCCGTCATGGCTTCAGGCTTCGTGAGACACATCTCATTCGTGCCTCGTACTTAAACTTTACCGTGTTGTCATGCATTATAAGTTGGTTTGCTCGGCTGTCAGGTGGTTCTCTGCCTGTCACGAGTCTTCCTTCTAAAGCTCCAGCCCAGACGTCATGCGGATCCTGGTAAAGCCAGCTTCGCAGAAGCCAGCGTTTGCGTTTTGTTGCGTTACCACGTGGTGCCTCGCTTCGCGTCAGAAAGTTCCAAGTCCCTTGTGCTTCGACGCGGAGGGGCAGCCTCGAAAGCCTTTTCACAAGGAAGCCCGACGTCCTGTTTGGGGAGGCGGAGGAGCCTGGAGAGTCGGGTTCCCAGTGCCAGAGCCGTGCCGTAGCTCGTTGGAAGACGGGCGAAACCGGAGGGCAACTGTGGCCAAGCCGGCTAAGCACTTTGGGCTAGAACCTTCGCTGCCACATAAGTAGAGATTTCGTTGGCTGAAACTGAGTTGCTCATGTAATCGATCAGCAGGCGTCCATCTGACGAGCCTACTCCGTGTAGCTCCCAAATTCCGGGAACAGAGTTTCTGACTCGCTTGGGTTCAGCAAAGGAGCTAGATCTGCTAGGTGGTCGCATGCAGTTCATGTCAATGTGGCAGGGCGCTGCAGCTCCTCCAGCCCCGGCGGCAGGAACTGGGGCACGTCTCCAAGTTTATCTGAGCCTCTGACAGAGCGCAGCGACGGCTGCCCGACTCCTGAGGTTGTCGTGCCAAGCTTGTTTGGCGTAACGTCTTTTGACAAGTCGCAGCGTGCGCCTGATCCTGGCCGGATGCCTACTCGCAGCATTCCTGAGGGATTGCAAGGGGCCGTGGCAGATCCCTGAGGTCTTGCGAAAGATGACTCCTCGGAGGATGGCGAGTGAGGGCCTAAGAGCTCAGGCACTCAGCCGAGAATTCCCGAGCTCTGTAAGCCCAGGAAGCCCAAGCCCACGAAGAACATCACCACGGCCAACACTGAGTCTGCACACGACTCAGAAGAATCCTACGGGGAAGAATATGTGAGCACTGCACGCCTCGGAACGCAGGCAGAGTGCAAGATGCAGTGATCTGGGCCCATGGATTCGATTGGAGACATCGTAGCGAAAAAGCAGCGTGCAAGAATGGACGAACAAGGGTTAACCGAAGCAGTGAAGGGAAAGAGCAACTTCCAGTGTTGCCTAGCTTCGAAATCAGAAGCGTCACGCATTTCTCAGCGGTTCTGTCGACGGTCGGCTTCTTGTCCTGCAAGAACTAATGGAGCTTTCGAACTAAGTATGAACGAAGGGTGTGGTATGATGGGGATTCTTTGCAAGTTTGTGGACGGGTTTAAGATCGGCCCCTTCATGTGGCTAGTTGCACATCCAGAGCCCTCAGCAATTAAATGGCAACAACACAGAGACCCTTAGAGAGACGCAGCAGACTGACACAACGATACCCGACTTAAACTATGCGGACTGTGGTCAATTTCTGGATCTTGGGTAGCAAGTTCTCGCTGTGCCGTGGTTAGCTTTGGTCATTTTGCTAGCAAAGCAGACAAGTTCCGTTCAACACGCTACAGGCACCAGCCAGCTTTAGCTCCTCTGTCTCTTGCACGAAGCTGCAATCGGGATTTGATCAGTCAGCTCGCTTCTGAAGCCTTTGGTGCAAATGACATCCTCGGCCGTTGCTTGTGCATTTTGCAAGTGCAGAGCAAGTGCAGAAGCCAGGCTCGAGTAATCTCGCCTGCATGCCTGGAGCTTGCCTGGATCCTGCCACTGCAGATATGACGCCGCGCGTCTCTCCGCATGTGCTGCGCAGGGGCGCGGCGGGCACCCCTTGCGCACTGCAAGGCGCAGCTTCCTTTGCGCCGTGCGGTGCGAAGTCCCACTGGGGAGGGAGCAGTGCGGCGGGAGGCGCTAGGAGACCCGAAGGGGCAAGCGAAGCAGGAGGCACACCTTCGAAAAGCCTTGTTCGCCCAACTTCGTCCAGATGGAGGGAGCAAGTTCTGGAAAGACGTTTCAAAGCGGGCTGCAGTTGTCGATGCAGCTGAGGAGCTCAGCAGGCCCTCTGCTGTGTTACCACACTGTTTCTTTTCGGGGAAGGTGGGGCCTGGGAGGCACCAGAATATGAATTTATTGGTTTTCAGGGCCAGGTCCGGGCAGCAGAATAGACGAATTGCCGCTCGAGAATAGATTGAATAGATGTCCGATATGACCAACAAAAGACTATATTTAAAAATATATATGCTTACAAACCCGGAGAAGCAGCCAGACAGGCCTCCAAAGGCAAACTCTCGGGCCCCGAAGACCGAGGGATGTCGACAAGGGTGGCCATTACTGTTCTCTTCTGAGGCACGGATGGCTGCGCAGCACGAAGGACTTCACAGTGGTGGCCTCGTCGCTGATCCGAGCAAGTCGGTGGTCGAGGTTGGGCACGCGACAGAGAGGCGATGGGCAAGAGTGACAATCCAACGTGTCTTGTCAGGGCCTTGGTGGCTTTGACAGAGGAGCTTCCTGAAGCATCGCTGCTTCCAGATGCCGTGGCCTGGAATGCCTGTGCGGCAGCTTGTGCCTCTCCGAACTAGAGCACCTGCAGTTGCCCACGCACTTTAGGCTACCGGCTAAGCGGCTCTATGGGCTAGGAATGTTCCAGAATCTCCTTCTGACTAAACCCTACGACCTTGAGAGGTGCCGCAGGGAGCCACTGGGTGGGTGCTCTGGCTCTCCTGGAGAGGCGCAGTGGTCTGCGCGATCTGGGCGAGCCCGAGTCTCTGTGCCTGCCAGGACAGCTGACAACTCAGTGCCCATGCTTCGTGCTGCCATGGACGCATGCTTGAAGGCCAAAGTCGGAACAGTAGCAACGTGATGATGTCTGCGAACTTTGAATCGGGCAGGCCAGCCTTTGGCAGAGAGTTGGGAGCTTACCAAGGAAGAGACAGAGGCTCTCGTACTCCATTTCACTGTGATGGCGCGCTGAGGCGCTGCTCCTGCAAGCAGACGGTGATGTTGGATGCCACGCCGCGGCTGCTCAAGCCTTCGGGCGGACAGCAAACTGGCAGTGCTTTGTCGCGAAACAGCTAGGTGCAGCTAGGTGCATCGGAGCACACTCGAATCAGCGGCTACCCAGAGCTCGGGGTGTGCGCACACTCGAATCAGCGGCTACCCAGAGCTCGGGGTGTGCGGGCCGCTGCAATTACTTCCCTGCTTCCTTGAAGGATGGCGCTTGTGCTTCTGCAGAAGTCGCCCTGCAAGACGTCGCACAAGGATGCATCTCAGCTGCTGCCCGTCGCAATTTGCAGTGTCCTGGAGTCCTGGACGCTCGTGACTGTTTGTATCTCTCTCCTTGCAGGCTGCGCAACGTGCTGGGCGTGCTGGCAAAGGCAGGCAAGTGGAAGTGGTCCGGCACATCGAAGAGGATGCATAGGCTTACAGCATTCGTGGCATACTTCACCAGGGAGATCTGCCTTAAACCGAGGCATGCTTGTGGTGTGCTGACTGCCCACATAGATGCGGGACCAAATTCAGATCGGCAAGATCGTCCCGGGGCGGCCAAGTTTGATAATGCAGCTCTGAATGCGGTGATTGCAGCCTGCACGGAGGCTGCCAGGCCTGCGCGGGAAAGAGTTGCCTGTTCATCTTTCGCCTTGCTCCACAACATGGACTTTTGAGAGGTGGGAAAATGCACTGGAAGTTCTCAAAGCAGGCCGTCGACTGAGGATACAAACAGCCACCTGGACTTTAGAATGGACGGTTGCCTTGACGGCTTTGCACCTGGTCGTTGTGGGACTGGCAATGCAAGGACGTGGTAAACCACAATGCAGCTCTTGCAGCTTGCGCGCGAGCAGCTCAATGGCGGAGCGCATTGGAACTGCTCGCGGCGATGACACTCGCAACAGGCGGGTCCAGGCTAGCTTAAGCTATGTGTCCCGAGAGAGAGCCTGACGTAGTACTTCGTAATGTAGGGGTCCTGCAATATTTTTGTGCAAGGAGCGACGGCTGCGGATGTTGCAAGCTTCAGCATTGTCGGGATCTTATTGTACAGATGCCTCGTGTCTCAATCTCAAGGATCACTCATGGTTTCGAGGCAATCACAGCATGCGAGAAAGCAGGGCGGAGTCGAGAAGCCTCGCAGCTCATGGAAGACATGGCCAGTGCGGGTCTCCTGCTTGATGCGATCGCCTTCAGCGCCTGCATCAGTGCATGTACCCAGGCTGTTAGAGGAGATTTTCCGAGAGCCTACTAGTAGCGATTATTTTCGATCTATGATGATCTATCCCTGGCCTGCTCAGGCGAGAAATCCAACGATTGGGCCAGAGCACTCTACCTACTGACCGTAGCCCTCAGACAAGAGCAGGCTGATTCCGTCAGCTGCAGTACCACGCTCAGTGCCTGTGAGAAGGCCTCGCGCTGGGAGCTTGCCTTGCAACTACTATCTGGCCACTACAATTGGGAGGTTGGTGCTGTTGGGAATGGCGCATTTCTGACATCATGCAAAAACAGTTCCCGTTGGATGGAAGCCTTGGCTGTGGTTGACGCGAAACAGCGATTAGATGCCGTTGGCCTGACCAGTGCTCTAGGTGCAGCTGAGACAGCAGGGTACAACGGGGCCCTGTGCACACTTTTGAGAGACCTCCTGCTCCAGACCAGCATGCAATTGCTGTTTGCCTGCAGAGTCGGGGGAGGTGCTGCAGCAAGCCGAGCACATGCCGCATCGACAGGAGGCTTGGACGTCTTAGACAGCCATGGACTTCTCCATTTGGGTGGCTTGGCGGTGGCACGCGCGCGTGTACGACAGGCTGCCCTGAAGGAATTTCAAGAGAAAGTTGCAGAGACCCTGGTGCTGCAGTCCCTCTGTGACTTGGGCAGACCATGTTCAAGAGATGCCATGGAGGAGCTGAAGCTCCCCACAGAGCTCAGCCGATGGCAAGTGAAAGCACGAGATGTTCTGGCTGAAGTGCTCTTGAATGCCTCGCCGAACTTGCAGCCCTTGCCGACTCACGCCTCTGCCCAACGAATAGCGGCGTGGACCTCGCTTGAGGTTTCAGGACGCAATTGGCACCTAGCCCGTGCTCCGGATGTAGTTTTTGGAGCACGAAGGTGAGTCTGCGACCTCTCCCAGGCCGCCCATTGCCGCTACCTGCCATGCTACTTGCGGCAGCGAGCCCAGCTGGATCCAATGTCTTCGATATCCTTAGCTGAATGATTTTGGTTCCAAAGAGCGGGATGCAACGGGAACGGGCAGAGCAGGGAGTCTCGCTGGCGAGCTAGTAGGGAAGCGGAGTTCTCGAGAGTTCCGCCAAGAGGGAGACCATTGGGTGCGAGACATAGGGACCTCCGACCAACCTGTCGACCCTGCAAATTTGTCGGTGCTGGCAGATGACCTCCAGGCGGACAGCAGGTGGACGCAATCTCTCCTGCAGCGGTCATCAAGTTTTTGCGAGTCCAGGATCTTCAGTGACCGGCCAAACATCGCCTGTGACCACGAAGTGGCCAGCTTGAGTGACGGATGTGACAAGATGCCGCTTGTTCCCACTTGTGGTGCATGACAGCAGCTCAAGGGGAATGTTCCTGGTGCTGCCGTAGCCTGCAGTTTTGTGGTCTTCACAGTTTTGCTGGTAGTCCTCTCCAAATCATTTTAAGCGCCACAGGCGCATGTCTTCGTGCAAATACTGCGCGCAAGTGTCTTATTCCAAGATGGCTCCATCCATCTGGGTTCACTTGAACCAAGGTCGAACAAATCCTGCGGTTCGCACTCGCAGATACAAGCACGAGTTGCAACAGAGTGCAGGGCCTCTGGCGGCACTGTGCAAGAGGGGACGGCTCGAAGGCCTCGGCTGTCAAGCCAGCAGTGACGTCTCTGATCGCAGCGTTTGCATGCCACGTGGAAGCTTCGTGAATTCACAGGTGTCGCGAAAAGAGCAATCCGAGCAATCTTACCGTAGCGAGCTTTAAGATGTGCATGACATGAACGTCTATGAACCTGCAGAAACGTCTTGACACACAACAGACAGACTAGACACTTTTGTCAAGTTCTTCTCCATGTCAGCTGAAGATGACGCAGGAGCTGGGTCTCAGTGCTGGAGTGCGGT